GATCAATGATCTGCAACAACAGGAGAACGTGGAGTTGGGATAAGAGTAAAGAGCATTATTTGTTCTCTTGTAGAACCGGCAGAAACATCCTCAGAAGAGTTGGGCAGCCGCTCGGAGAAAAGGAAAAGAAGTGAGCACGTGCTGGGAAGGGGTGATCTCTGCATGCCGTTCCCTGCTCCTTGCTCCCTGCCTGAGAGAGGGCTCTCTCTGCCCTCCTGGGTGCCCCGGACCCAGTGGTAGCAGCATAGGCATGGTTCATCTCTTGGGGTGGGAGAATGAACTGTGCTTGAGCATCTGGAGACCCATGGACCTATGTCCATGCAGACCCCATTGAACCGTGCTTGAGCATCTGGAGACCCATGGACCCACGTCCATGCAGACCCCATTGAACCGTACTTGAGCATCTGGAGACCCATGGACCCATGTCCATGCAGACCCCATTGAACCGTGCTTGAGCACCTGTTGGGCCATTTGCACTCAGGACGGCTGTAAAACCCAAAGTAGAGCGGTGGGGAGCTGCACCTTTGTGCAGGTGCCAGCCTGGGGCCTACACGTCTCTCAAATACTGCAGGGAGGAGTTCCCCCCTTGGAAGCTAGCGCCCAAGGGTCTGCTCTCAGTGTTGCATGTCTCCTGGCGGTGATAGTGCTGGAGACAAGACAGTGGGTGGGATGGAGGCATGTTCAGATGCAATGTACCGCACGGCATAGGAATTGCTGGTTTTCTTCTCATCTGATCAATGATCTGCAACAACAGGAGAACGTGGAGTTGGGATAAGAGTAAAGAGCATTATTTGTTCTCTTGTAGAACCGGCAGAAACATCCTCAGAAGAGTTGGGCAGCCGCTCGGAGAAAAGGAAAAGAAGTGAGCACGTGCTGGGAAGGGGTGATCTCTGCATGCCGTTCCCTGCTCCTTGCTCCCTGCCTGAGAGAGGGCTCTCTCTGCCTTCCTGCGTGCCCCGGACCCAGTGGTAGCAGCATGGGCATGGTTCATCTCTTGGGGTGGGAGAATGAGTTGGGTTTGTATCCTTGCATTGCTGTCCCTTGCTGATCGCGATCCAGCCTCTTCACACGTCTGATCGAATGGGCTGAGGCTCTATGTGAAAGAGGGCGTTGATCTGGCATTTGCAATACTTTATATGGTCTGGGGACCAAACCAGTAACTGCCCTGTTATTGCAGAGCCACCTACTTCTCATAAGCCCCACTGCACCCATTGACATATCTTTACCAGCAAGTGCTCATACGTCGTCTTTTCTTCCCTTTAGATCATAGAACAAGGAAGTCCAACTAAGCCAGGACCCGACCATCCTTCAAGGGCTCAGTCGCATCCAACATCTCTCTGTTGCCAGCTGTTTCTCAACCCATTGTGCGTGAAATTTGTTTGACCCGACTTTGCCAGTAATCTCCATGATACATTTTACTCAAGAGCGTACGTCTCGCTCCAGGACCGTGGTAGCGTTGGCAGAGATGAACGCTCTTCGCAGGTCTTTCCGAAACATCCCTTGGATTCATGTGAAAAAGCAATGATGTATTTCTTCTTCTCGTGGGACCTCAGTTTCTCCGTCAAAGGCTAACTAGCAAGCGTTCCCTTCTGCTGCTACAAACCCTATTCGTTCCTGCTCCAGCTGGGTCGGCTCCTGCTGCATTTGGGAAGTAGGCAGGTCCTTGCAAGCTGCAGAGCACGTTTCCTCTCCTGGGGAAGGGCGTGCTCTTCTGGGAAGACCTTCAACCAGCCTGTCTCCAAGGAGAGCTCTCCTGGCTTCCCCCCATGCAGGGATGCAGAGCTCCTGGCCCTCTAGGTAAGGGCAGGGTTGGGTAGTTGACCAGTCAAATATCAATTGAAAGTTGTAAAAAAAAAATAAAAAATTGCCAATAGGTCCAAATAACACACAGAAAAAGCACAACTTTTCCCTTCAGAGGTGTGTCAAAACCATATTTATGTCAAGAAAACTACAAAAACAATGTTGTTTTTGGGTAAAAATTGCTATAATCTTTGACCGGTCAAAAAGATGCAGTCAATTGAGCACTCAATGGACAACACTTGACTGGCCAATTGACCCATTTGTCAAGCCTAGATAAGGGTTTCTGCTTCATTAGGATCCCAGTAATACGTCCCGCAGTACTGGGGTCCCCTGCATCGCTTACCTGACTCGGCATGAGCAGCAGCGCGTGGGATGACAACCGTGATGCTTTTGCTCACATTCACATATTCTTGTGGCATTGATGCGGCCTGCTGACGAAGGGGAAAGATGCCTTTCGTCGCTGCTCTCTCGATACTTCTTGCTTTACAAAACAGCCACCGACAGATTCGGGATTAGAGCGTCCCACGGCTTGACTGAAATCTCCGCGGAGCGTGCTAGCACACACCTGATCCCAGTTCTCAAAGCCTGCGAGGCTGGCGGAGGGTGGGGGAATCAGCGGGGTCTTTGTAAGAGGGCATTTGCCCTGTCCAAAAAAAAAAAAAAAAAATCACTTTCTGTCAATAAAGTCTCTGGAGAAGAGTCAGCATCCTGTATTGCGTGCTAGGACCGTGCGTGGATAAGGGATGAAAGCAGCCCCTCGAGAACAGGTTTCTGTCTGGGGTGAAGAACCGGCGCTAGGGTTTTCACTGGTGGAGAAGGGTGCAAGCCACGTGCATAGAGAGATGCTAGGAGCCGAGCCACCGGCTCTGGCTCCTGCTCTATACCGTGCGTGTACTGGCCGGATCAAAGCTGGTGCAGCCACAGCCCAGCAGAGGACAGGGGCAAAGGCAATAAAGGCTGTGTCTTTGCACCCAGGCACGTGCTGCTGGGTGGTTTTCAAGATGCTTGTGTGTACGGGACCAGGCACCCTGGTACCTAAACCCGGGATGCAGGGGAGCAGAATTGGGATGTGGACGTCTTGTAGAAAGGCGTGGGACTTTGTCTTGCCCTTGGCTGTGCCGAAGGGATTACGCTGCTGGGGGTGCATTCAGGCCACTCAAGGAATTCATCAGGCAAAGTTTTTGTGATTTCTTTATGCTTTTTTGCCCCCCATAATGAATGACATCAGTCGAACCTGTACGGTTGACTGGCTGGAGACTAATTGCTGCCCACATGGTACATAGCACTATTCATGGCAAATATTAACGAGTGGTAAATCTCTGCAAGGGACAAGTTCATCAATTTTGAACTTGCTCTGAGAAGAAATCATTCTCTCAGGCTAAAGGCAGCGTAAAAAAAATCCTCATTTTAAACCAGTGATTCTCTGGGAGGAAAGAGTAGGACCTGATGGTAAAGAGTGGGACCTGAGGATATCTTGAGGTCCCTTCCAGCCCCTAACATCTATGCAAAAATACCTAGCACAAAGCAGCAGCGGCAGCTGTCTTCTTTACACAATCATTATTCCAGAACAAATCATTTCATGGCAATTATATTCCTTGAAAACACGGAGAAAAACCTTACATCCAACCCTTTTCTGCCCTTCAATAATTCCTTGCTGTTTTGATAATAGCCTGGTGTCGCAGGATGAGCCAGTGGAATAAAAGGCATCAAAGTGGCTAGCAAGTCATTCCTCAGACGAGTGCTCCCATGCATCACGTCACCATTACAGCCAAGTTCATCTGTGTTAGAAACCAGGCACTCAGGGGACTCCACTGTGGGTTTGACTGGCTGGAAATTTTGGTTTTCAAAAGGCAGCCTCTCAACCTGAGTCTGTAAAGGTCGGAGGGATCAGAAAAAGATCACCGACGTAGGACAGCTGTATGCAAGAGCCAGATCACGGGCCACTTCGTGCTCTGATTCGGACGACCCGAAACGCTTCATTTCGGCTAGCGACAAGCAGGCAGCTGGATCTGAGCCTGGATTTCCACTACCCCGCCAAGGCCTCGCTGGGCTCGGAGCTCTTGGGATGGTCCCAAGTTGTGCAACAGCCACGTCTTGGGGGAATCAAAGCAGGAGGCCACTACAGCTAAAAGCAAGAGCTGCTACACTGGCACTGTGCCAGCCCACAGGGATCCCCTGGACATTGGCCCAGAGGGATGCAGCGTTGCATGGGCAGTCGTGCAGGAGCAGGCCCTCCCAACAGATTTGGGTGGAAATGCAACTGAAATGGCCTTTCTGCTAGATCCGCTGCTAGCCTGAGGTCTCGGGGCTCTTCTGCACCCCGCTGCAATGTAGAAGGGCAAAGGCACCTTTCGTGGCAAACGGGCAGTGCTTCCTCGCAGCCCTGCCGCGGATAAACCTCTCTCCTGTCTGCAGCTGGGCCTGGGTCTATTCATAGGCTACAAGCAGAGGTCTCTTTTATCCCAGCATCAACCATTTTACCCCAGGGCAAAGTGCAACCATTTAGATGCCCATGTCCATTGTCTTGGGATAAATCCTAAAGAGGTGGGTAAGAAGGCCAGTGGTTTGTCCCAGGACATTGTGAAGTGTGTCTGTACCGTTATCCCCATCTTGCATGACTGAAATAATGGCAGAAAAGTGGCAGTGCCATCAGCCACTCACTAAACCCCAACCAGAGGGACGACGTGTGTACGCGCTAATCCCAGGACATTTCTGTTCTGGGACAAATGCAGGCACAACATGTCTGGGGACAAATGCAACGACTGCTCCTAGCCATAGACGTCGGAGTGCTTGTCACTTAATAAGATCAGCTTATGTCGCAAATCCGCACTTTGCTCCAGATGATAACAGCTCATTGCCACTGCCAGCAAATCCAGCTCTGCCCCAGGATGGCCACTTCCTGTAGCCCAGCCCCGGCTGACGAGGGCTTGTCGCTAAACCACAACAGGTCTTAGAGGGCAGCAAGCGCGGGACTTTATAGCTGCTCTTTGTAGACGATGCTGCCGCAGCCCCCCTGCCCCTCTCCCCCCAAAGTTGGATTTAGGACAAAGCAGCCCAACGCGGAAAGACACGCTGGACAGACCTGAACGGATGGGTTGATGTTCAGAAGCTCCCGTGGGCTTAAAGAGGGGGTGGAGGACGCCTTGGCCATGTTCCTTACAACAGCTAAGAGAGGAAAGAGCATGAGCTGAAGGGAGACAGAGGAGTGGAGGGAAGGGGCTATATGGGGCACTTAGCTCTTGCCTAAATTAACCCATCTGGCCCAGTGCCCCATATAGGCCTTCTCCCCCTGTGAGTGAGGGAATGCAGCTCCCGCTGCTTTCCCAAAAGATGTGGGCATGAGGCCAGCAAAACCTAAAGCTCACAGACCCTTCAGCAGTGGCTATGATTCAAGTCGGGAGATGGCGTGGTCACAGCAAGCTACTTGCGGGAAAAAGCAGCCTTGACCTCCAGAAGCACGCTGGCCTCCGAAACAGCGGGGGAAATGCCAAAAAAAAAAAAAAATAGTAGAGGCTGTCACTGAAAAGCCACTTCTAGCACACTCTGGGGGGCTCGTGACTGCCCTGGTGGGATGGGGTGATGGGGGTACTGGTGGGACCCTACGCTGCAGAGAGCGTCGCATCTCACGTGCCTGCACACAACAGGGTGTAAGCCCTTCCTGACATGGGCTCACGGAGGCAGGGTTTCCCCTGGGGTCTAGAGGCAGTCAGGTACCAGAGCAAAGACTACAGCATCCTGCAGAAGTGGGGCTGGAAGGGACCTGCAGAGGTGACCTCTAGTCCAACCCCTGCCCGGGGCAGGATCGGCCCTGTGCAACCGGCCCAGACAAATCCGTCATCCAGCCTCTTTGTAAAACTACCATAATACGGCACAGACCTCACACCCGACCCTGCTGCGGGGAAAGCAGGGGGGCCGCGGCAGCCAGCGTCCTGCTTCTGTAAAGGTTGTTAATACACACCCCAGAGATGCCAGGCAAAGGCTGTGCCCCCACTACAGAGGAAGAACCCCCCCCCCGCCCCTGCCCAAGTCCATACCAATCTGTTCATGGGGTAAAACTCCCTCGTGACCCCAAATGTAGCATTGGTCTGACCCTGAGCAGAGGGACGAGACCCTCCGGCTTTGGAGCATTGGATCACGGGAAACACTGTGCCAATCTAAACCCGCTTTGCTGCACCTTCAAGCCACTGGGCTCTCCGTGGCACGAGAGACAAGGTGCCTTCCTCTTGATGGCAGCCCTTCAAGCGCATGGTGGGTGAATCAATAAGGTATATACAATAGTCAGAGCCAGCCGGCACCAGCACAGCGTTGGCACCGCTGCCCCGCACCACGGCAGAGCCCGGGTTGGCTGAACCTCCTCCACTGAATTGGATGGGGAATGAATTTTCAGCTGAAAATGGAGGTTTTTCACCAGGCGTTTTTGCAGGCCCAGGCTTGGAAACCCAAAGAGGCTCCTATCTGCTTGGCCAAAAACTGAGGAGTTTCGATTCTGGCCAAGCACAGAGACGGGCTGTTGTCATCGCAATGCAAACACGGCAAAGTTGGATCCAGCCTGTGCGGCTTCTTGCCAGCCAGATCCAGACGTGGAGGAATGAGTGGTAGCCACGGGGGTTATTGCAGCTCTCACTCACCCCCCGTCCCCAGTGGAGCGCTGTACCCTGGGTTTTGTTGCCCACAAACCCTGGCCCCCATCTCCATCCCTGCTCTCCTGGCTACCCATCACCAGCCATAAGCATGGGTGTGGGGCCTCTTACGTGTTGCAAACACCCTGGGGAGGGAACACCGCATCCCCGGCGCGTCTCCGGCCTCCCAAAGCAAACAACCTTCGCTCGCCAGGACTCGTGCCCCCCACCACGTCCTGGAGGGGACGGTTTGCTGACCAGCCTTTTAGGTCTTGAAAGTTTTGGTTTAATATTACCCTCCCAAGAGGAGAACGGAATAATTAACCCCTTGCCTCCAGAAATGCAAGTGCCAAGGCTGGGAGGGTTTGCCTGGGGTGGCAGGTGGGCATGCTCCAAGTTGTAGTTATCAGGTGTCCAGGTTGTAGCTGTATTGGTCTAGAGGGAAAAAAAGCAATCAGGACTCCTGGTAGAGGCAATATCTATTATCAGACCAACTAGATTTTTGCAAAAAAAAAAAAAAGTCTTAGTTATGGTGCTTTAACTACAACCTGGAGCAGCCGGCTCGAGTGCAGACCACGGTGCCCACCCGTGGCTGGAGAGTGGACTGTCTGCCATAGCTCATGGGGCCGTGAGCTCTCGCTGGTGGGGCTGTCTCATGGGTACGAGGGGGGTCCTGATCTCCCCGTGCTCCTCTACCACATATGAGTGATGTGCCACTGGCCAGGGGCAGGCCCTGCTAGCTTGCCCTGGCTTGCAGAGCAGCATGCAGCTGCGCAATCATTCGTCCCCTGAGGGAACAGACGCTGAACAAGGCAGGGTTTTCCGGTCAATGGGGCTAGAGAATCCAGCCCCCCAAACACATGCGCACAAGAGCCCTCGAGACAACACTGTGGAGACCCCAGCACCGGGAAGAAAGGGGTGACGACGGGCCTTGCACCCCAAGACTTATCCCAGTTGCTCTCGACCAGGGTGCCGCAAGGCCCTTTGAAGGGGGCCACGCAGTGTCGGCGCTGGCAGATGTGCCAACACATCTGCACAAAACACACTCGGAGGAATCGAGCGCACGGGAAACGTCTCGCCTGGCTGTGCTCGCCCGGAGCTCTTTGCAACCCGGGAAGGGCTCTAGTATTTTTCTGTCGTGAAAGCGAACAGCGAGTCTAATGATGACGGACGCCTGGAGTCTAATGAAGGTGCGAATCTCGGGCTTCAGAGAGCCCAAGAGGCCACAACGACGGTCTGGGAGGCCTTGCATAGGGACCTGCCCGTGCTTGGCTCTGGGCGTCCCACCCGGGCCCGTCGCCTGCTCCCTTTGGAGCCTCTCCAAGCTCCCCCTGCCCCGTCCCCTCCCCAGGCTCGGGGAGCTGGTTGCACAACCCGCGCCTGGGTGGGCAGTGGGGGCCTGCGTGAGTCATAATGTGATGTTATCTCCCAGTGACTCTCCCTTTTGGAGGGCAATAACCCCTTCCTGCATGGGACAGGGGCAACGAGGCGAGCAAGAGCACCCGGGACGCTGTGCCTGGCAGCACAGACCCCCCAGCAGGCCTTCCCCGAGGGGTCCCAGCCTGTGGCGAGCTGCCCCTGGAGGGATGCATTTCCACACTTCCCCTATCTCCAAGCTTTCTGCACGCCAGGCCTAGGGGAGTCTGCTCTTAGCATGGTCGGGCCCATGTAAGCCTCTTCTGCGGTGGTGCCCAGCCCCGGTGCTGTGCATCTGTCCAGACAGGAGTTTCACCCCTAAAGGGAATTCATTGATCTGCTCTGCCCCGTGACACGCGGTCTGGTCCAGGGGCTTTGGGTACGGGCAGACCTAGGGTTTTGAAAGTGGGGGTGTGGAAGGTGTGATGAACACTATGCCTATTTTTCTCCAGTTCAGGAGAAACTGGAAACCTTTATACTGTGCTAGGGGGCTGGCGCTAATATTATGCAGCTTAACATCGAAGCAGAAACCAAGGTAACTGCTGGCAAGTGCTCTCGTTTGTTAGCTCATATATGACATTTAAAAACAAACCACAACCAAGTAGGCTGGATATTCTGCCCCGTAATCATTATATGTAAATGTACGCCTCTTATTCAGATTCCCCAGACAAAAATCAAGCTTTCTTTGGTGTCTTGAAAATGCCTCCAGTCCTTCACTGTCAGTCCCTTCTGCACCAGGAGTAACGTGACCTCACCTGAGTTCAGGTTTCTAGCAGAGCTAAAAACCAGTCTGCCAGGCGACGGAATAAGAGAGCCGTTATCAGGAATGGCTAATAGGCAGCCGAGGAAAGGATATGTGTAGAAGAAAGGATAGTTTGAGGAGTGGAATAGCAAGACCATTATCAAGGAGACAGGGTGGTTCACACGGAGGGAGTGGAGAGAGATTAGCAGGAATCCGGAGGAGCCCCCAGATGGGGACCACGATGCGCTCTGCAAACGCCACGGCGCTGGGGCCGTGCCAGGGTGAGCAATGCAGCACCGCCCTCGCGCGAGACTCGAGGCACAGCGCAGGTTCCCTGGTGCCACACGACGGGCCAGCAACGGAGCTGGGGCAGAACCAGGTGTCCGGGAGGCCTCTCGCTGGCTGTCACCTGGGGGTGTCGGGTCAGGGGCTGCACAGCCAAGAAACCAGCTCAGCGGCATGGGCCGGCCCACCGCTCCTCGACAAGCTAGAGCAAGGATTCATTCAGCCTGGTGCCCTGGGCTCTTCCCTCTGCCCGGCTGGCGCTGTTAGCTCAGGGACCCGCTGGCTTGTGAGATCGTGGGCACTGCTCGCTGCAGCCACTTCCCAGAGCCACAACCCTTGTGCAGCCCCAGCCCTGCCGGCACCAGGGAAACGACAGTCACTGGAGATGGAGAGGCTGGTGCAAGTCTCTCGTGCTGGAGACTTGCAGAGGGGGAAAAAGCACCTGGGGGAGCCCAGCACAGCACGAGCAGCTGCTCCCCACAAGCCAGCCAAGAGCCCGGGCTGAGCTGCAGCAGGAGGGCAGCTCTGCTCCTCCCCACCCCGGTGGCAGTACCAAGCATGCCTGCCAAACGGGGACCAGCCCAGGGCCGGTGGGAAAGGAGCCCGGGAGTCCTGGGGGTAAATCATGGCTTCTGGGCTACCCAGCATCATCCCGGGGGCACACGCTCACCTGGCTCTGGTTGGCTGCTCTCCCTGCCATCACTTCCATGGTCCTGGGGGGATGTTTCTGGGTCCTTGTGATGTGGCCCGAGGAGCTCAGGGCAGATCTAGGGACTCACGGAGATCTTCCCAGAGGGCTCTGGCTCCAGCAGGTCCTTCTTTCCACCTCCCAGGAGCCAGTCCAGGCCCATCCTCTCCAGCGCGGCCCGGGGAGCTTTCTCCAGGCTGGCACTTGGTGTGCCCAGGGAGGGAGCTCCCCACACGGTCCTCACCACACCGTCCCCTGCCCTTGGCTTTGTGCCGGCCCTGCGCTCTGTCCAGGTCGTGCCCTGCGGACCTGGGGGTCACTTGAGGCTTGGCCTCTGGGCAGCACGAGTCTGGCAGTTGGCCCCGGCTGCCCACTCAGGTTCAGTCCCTTTGCAGTAGCTGACCAGCCGGCAGCTCCACACAACCTGGAAGGGGGCAGGGAAAGCTGCAGCCCCTGGTTGGGAAACCCTCCCTTTGGCTTCCAGGCGGGTGGACCACCAAGCATAAGGCAGCTTCTTCTTTCCCCTCCTTGCTGTGCGCCTTAAAACAGCTGGCGCCGGGCCCTGGTTATATCCTTGGGGACCCCTGGGGCTGGAGTGGCAAGGGGGTGCTGCCATGAGGGCTAGAACAAGGTTGTAAGACCTTGGCTTGGATAGTGCAGCCTCCCTTGCAGGGGGTTGTGGGCAGGGATTGAGGGGTCACTGCCTACGCTCTCTGACCTCTGGCCCTGCTTCCATGGGGGGTGGACACTGGAGGAGACTCCCAGGTCCCTGCCACATGTTAAGTATATAATGCAATTCATGTGTCAATCACGCAATAAATGTAGACCAGCGGCATGTGCAAAATCATTATCAGGTCATAAAAATGGCTGTCCAGCTACAAAGTTGGTGCTTGAAAACATGACAGCTTGATAGCTGGCTTCTATCCAGCTTTCATTTGAATGCATGGCAGGACCCCCATGTGTCAGGAGGCTGACGGGCAGCAGCTCTGGCATCTCCCTGCCAGTGCCACAAAACAATGTGGCATGGCAGCTTCTTGTGTGCCCTAAGAGCACCCCAGCCAAACGCCCGTGACCCCAGGCAGGGGAATGGGTGCTGAAGGAGCCACCCTGGGGAGATGGCCCCATCCCATCCCTGGACTGTACCCGGAGGTGCTGCATCCCTTGGGTGAGAGGCTGTTAATTTGGATCGAGCACTGGGCTGGAAGAGGATGGGACTGGAGCCGTAAGGCTGCTGGGGCAGGAACCATGCACCTGGGCTGAGACGGGCAGGGAGCAGGCCGGGCACTGAACCGGAAGCTAGGGTTTCTCTTGGTCAAAGTGGTGCTGGCTTGGCCACACCTGGCCCTTACCCCCAAGCAAGCCTCGCTAGGCTGAGCTCCCCGGAGGGGCTGGAAGGTGAAGGGGCCCGGTGCCACGTGATGCTTGGGACAGGGGCTGGCTCCAAGGAAGGAAGGATCCATGCACAGAGCCAGCCACACCATGGACTGCTCCTCTCCAATAGAATATTTATATAGATATAGAGATGTATATATTAAAATTACATTTCTCTTTACAAAAGCAATTCCACCACGGGCTCAGGGCATAGCTCAGCGGGGCCCAGAGGGCGCCTCGGCAGTCCTGGCCCCGGCCCTCGCTCCGCTCTGCCCTGCCCCAGGGCCCTCTCCCACGTCGGCAGGGGCTCCATCCAGAGTCCAGCAGCGGGTCCCACAGGGGGTGGGGTGCAGACAACCCCGTGACTGCATCTCGGGCAGCGTCCACTCCACATCAGGCTCCTCGGCTTCCCCATGCTGCTGTCACCGCCTGCAGAAGGACAGCGGGTGAGCAGGGAGTAAGATGCGGGCCTGATCCTGAGGCACAGCACCCTCCATGGGGCCTCACAGGATCAGGCCCCTGGCAGCTGGCTCCTGTCCCGTGCCTCTGAGCCCAGCCCATGCTGCGGGCAGGGGTGCTAGGAGCTGCACAGAATAGCTGTGCCCACGGTGCCCTGCCACAGAGCCAGGCTCTGCCCTTTCCACCCCCAACCCGAGAGGTGACCAGGGGTGCATTCACCCTGCCCAGCAGAGCAGGGGCTGGCTTGACCCTCACAACCACCACACACAGACAGAGGCAGTCAGTCTCTGTGGCCCATATGGCCCGTGGCCTGCACCGTGGCTGTGTCCAGAGGCCACCAAGCAGCCCAGGGCTGCAGCAGCCGCCCATCATTTCTGTGCGACATGGAGGTGTGGGTGGGAACGGGCCAGAGCCTGAGACTCCCTCACTTGTGGGCAGTCAGTGCAGAGGTGCGGGGCTGAGGCAGGGGGCTGCGTACTTCTGCCTGGCAGTGCTGTAGGGGTCCAGCAGGTGGGAGCTGGCCTGCTCCAGATTCCAGTCGAACATCTCCAGGACCTTGTGGCACTCCACTCGGGACTTCAACCCCAGGCAGAAGAGCTGCTCCACCTGTGAACGACAGGGCCCGGGCTGTCAGTGGATGGCACTGGGGTCTCGGGCACAGATCCGAGCCACGGCAGGCCCAGGCTCCGCAGCTGGTGTCTGAGCAGCGGCAGGGAGGAGCGATGCCAGCCCAGCCTGGACCCAACAGGGAGGCTCTGACAGGCAGACATACCCGAGTCAGCTGGGAGTGGTGTGATGCACCCTCCCAGCCCTATTCCCAGCACCCAAGGGCATGAGCTTGCAAGGGAGCTGAGCCATACCCCCAGCCATACCCTCCACGGCTCCAGTACCATTGCACGCTACCCCAGAGGATATGGTACCTTCAGGTACTGGATGGCGCGCTGGACGTTCCAGCCGTGGCTCTGCAGGGCGGCCTGGCACTCCTCGGTCGTCACGCCGTGCACCGTGTCTTGGACCTGTGGCAGACGCACCTCGTGAATGCCTAGTCCAGCTCACCAGGACCTCAGCTCAGAGCTTGGCGTGGGGCCATGGGACAAGTGGGAGAGGATAATAAGGAGAGGGGGGAAACTGAGGTAGGTATGGATGGGGCAGTGTCTAATGTGCCCATCTTCCCGGCCTCTGGGCACAGGCTGGAGGGTCTGTGAACATCGGGCAGATGGCCCAGGACCTGCCAGGGAAGAGGCTTCCCTGCCTCAGTGTCCCAGGTGCAACCCAGGAGTCCGGACCCGCAGCCCGCTCTCCCTCCTCTGCCGCCAGCCAGAGAGTGGGAGTGACTGCCCCTTTAAAGCCAGGGCCATGCTGTTCCATGCCTCTACAGCAGCTGCAACCCCAGGCTGGGACAGCAGGGGGTGCTGCGGGTCCTGGCACCTACTAGGGAGGAGCAGGACGCCCCCCCCGCGTCCAGGGGAGCAGCAATGGAAGAACAGGGCCCCCAACCTAGCACTGTCAGTGGCCTCCTGACTGCCCACATCCCAGCCCCTCCGGGGAGGGGGCATTGATCCCACACCCCGCACAGTCCCCAAGGACCCTGCCACACCTTCGAATGAAAGCTGGATAGAAACCAGCTACAAAGGTGTTGCACTTTTTCAAGCACTGACTTTGTAGCTGGACAGCCATTTTTTGGGCGTGATACTGACTTTGCACGTGGGGCCGGTCTGCATTCACTGTGCGACTGACCGGTGAACTGCGTGATATTAGGTAATGTGTGGCAGGGATCTGGGAGTCCCACCCCTCCTTGGTCTAGCTGGCAGCAGCGGTTGCGCCATGCCACAGAGGTGGCTGCAGTGTGGACTCCTCGATCCCAGGGGCATAGCCTGGGGGCTCAGAGGTGGGCAACTCCTGGTCCTGGACAGGCCCCAGCCCCAGCGCTGGGTGGGTGACCCAGGGCTGAGGCATGCCAGGCTTGCTATAAGGGTGATGGGCAAGAGCTGGGTGTCAGCGCTTGCTGGGACCTGCCCCCCAGCAAGCCCAGAGCCTCTGGGAGACAGGGTGGATTAACCCCTGCAATGCCAGCCTTGTGGGCATCCCCCGTCGGGCTGGAGATCTCCAGCCTCCAGTGTGTCCCCCCCAGGACCCTGCACACATTCCCCTCAGCTGCCCACCGGGAGACGGAGGGGAAGGACCCAGGCATTGGGAGCACCCATCACCCAGCCAGGCCTGGACTGAAACACCCCCCAACCCCCGCCCCAGGGGCAGGAATTTCCCTTTCTTTCCAGCTGGATCCCATGACTCAAGGTGGGCGGAAGGAGGGGGCTGGGCTGTCTCTTCTCCCCCAACACTTGCTCTTTAACCCCGTGCTGCCAGGGGATTTCATTTCAGCCCCTCTCTGCCCCCAGCCATCACTGCCTCCCCCTTGAGTGCTGGGGGTCTCGGCTCCCCACCTGGCCTCTGGCCCAGGGCTGCCCGGGCCAGTTCCTCCCACCTGGCTTCAGGGAGGGTTGGGCAGTGGGGGCCCGGCACTGGGACATGGGGTGCCCCAGGAAAAGGCCTGGGGCTGAGCAGCAGCTGTGGAGCATGTGCCCTGGGTCTGGGCAGCCCTGCGGCCCCCGCTCTCAGCACCTGGAGCAAGCCCGGGACGCAGGCAGCCCCTCAGCTCAGAGTGGCACAGAGCGCCAGGGACCCCCGACATCACTGTGACGTGGTCTCCCCAGGTCACAGCCCAGCTGCCATGGGGGAAGCCTGTTGCCTCTGGCACAAGCCTGGACCTGGCAGCCCAGGGCATTGCTGCCTAGTGCTGCTGCACAAGGGGCAGACAGGGGGGCAGCGGGCCGGGGATCCGGCTCCAGGCCTCTGTCAGGCTCCTGCCTGCCACGCTCTGCCTGCGCTGGGGAAACGGAGCTGATGCCTGTCCCCTCTGCCCTGCATATGAGCAAGGAGCCAGGGAGGAACAGGGGTCTGTGCAGTGGGGTAGCTGCTCCAGGCACAGCTCTCCCAGTGCTGCCAGGGCACCTGGAGGCAGCGGCTGCCCTGTGGGCTTGGCTCCAGGCCACCACTGAGGGGAAGGGAGGTCAGGGAGCTGCAGTGAGCCACTGCCGGGGAATGCCGTCGCACCAGCCGATCCTGGCGGGCGTGTCTGCCCCCACCCAGGCTGTGGCTCCCCGCGGCGCCGGGTTCAAGGAGGATGGGGCCCTGAGCTGGCACTCGTATAGACGGCGCCTGGACTGGTCAGGCCTGGCACGTAGCTCTGCATGGCTGCCCCCAGGGCACATGCGAGAAACCCCAGGGATGGTGCAGGGGAAACTGAGGCACAGGCAGGGGAAGGGGCTCTCTGGGGGTCTCACAGCCCTGCCACCCCACTCAGCTCCTGCAGCCTGGGGGCTCTAGGGGACAGGTGTCTTCCAGCCCCTCGCGGCTTGGGTTAGGGGGCGGCTCTGCTCCGACCGGCCCACATCCCCCCTCCTCAGCGCCCTTGCACGGCCTGACTCACCAGGCGGATCTTGTCGGAGGGCCGGAAGGTGTCAGCCCCGTCGTAGATGATCTTCTGGTGGCTGCAGGAGGTGCGCACAGTGCACCGGTTGCTGTTGTTGGAGGAGAAGTTGGCCCGGCTGTCCGGCTGCTGCACCATGGGCCGCACGGTGGCGGTGGTGACCACGCGGGCAGGAGCTGGAGCCAGAGCCGGGGCCGCAGCCGGGGCCTCCTCGGGGCTCTCGACCTTGAAGAACTTTTCGTACTTGTCCAGGTAGGACGGGCGCTCGGGCAGCAGGTAGTAGTGGGTGCTGCTGACCTTCTTGCCATCCTTCACGATGGGCAGGATGCAGGGCCCCCGCAGCCCCTCCTTGCCCTGCGCCTGGATCACCTTGGGGGTGGCGTACTTGGGGTCCAAGGCGAAGCTCTGCGTGGTGGGCATGGGCTTCCCGGGAGAGGTGGAGAGGGTGCAGCCCCGGGGCTGGGGGGACCCTGCCGTCGGCGCCATGGGGCTGGGCGTCCGCGAGCCGGGCTGCGACAGCGGGTCGCGGGGCGGCAGCTGCGGCGGGCGGTC